AAGGGCCAGAGCTTTCTAACGGTCCTTAACCAGCGGTAACCCCGCAAGGCGCTCTGTGCCACCGTCCCCTTCCGACAGGTGAGGACACGTAAGTCATGGACCAGCGAAGCCCAAGGCACAGAGCCTGCTCCTTGTCCCAGGGGATAGTGCTCACTGGTGACCCCTGCGTGGGCTGCAGCTGCCCCTCTGCCCCTGAGGGACCCAGGCCACTAGACCTCCTAGTGCAGTCTCCCCAGGGTGCATTAGAGCCACACGAGCCCCAGACACAGGCTTTCCTCATCCTTTCAGGTGGAAGAGAAACTTCAGGAGGACTCCAGAAAGAAATTGCTTCAGCTGCAAGAAATGGGGAACAGAGAGAGCCTGATAAAGGTCAATTTGGAAAGGGCCGTAGGTCAGGTAGGCGTGCCCCACCGCCCCCAGCTCTGGCCCGCTTCCCAGCAGTCCTCTGCACCCAGGGGCAGGAGGGCGAGCGGAGACGGCGTGGCCTGACTCCCGTGGGCCTCGGGACCAGTGGCCTCTGTGGCCGCTCCTCCGGGTGGCTGTTGCCGGAGAGCTCTCTCCTGAAGGAAGACCCCTCTCTAGCAGTGACCCCAGACTCGGGCCAAGCAGCCAAATCCTGGCCCCACGCCTGCCCGGGCCCCTTGGCCCCAGGGTATCTCTAGGACATTCAGCCCGAGTCCCGACCGGTCCCCAGCAGCTTTCTCAGTGTCCATAAGAGCCGCCACTTCTCTGAATAAAGTCAACCCCAAGCGTCCAAAGTCCATGCAGGATGGAGACAGTGCTGGGCAGGGTGGTGAGCAGGCCTGACGCGGCTGGGTGGGAGGCACCGTTTCTCCAACGCTCAGGCCCAGGATGGCCGGCGGGGCCAGACCACCAGAGGAGACTTCAGCAAAGGCTCAGGGAGGGCAAACTGGAACCCAGGACCAGAGGGCAAGACCCCCGGAATATGCCCCACCCAGGGCAGAGACCTCCGCACTTCTCCACAGAGGGCCCTCCCGAGGTCCAGCGAACCCCCAGAACATTCTGTGTGTGGCGCTAGTCTTCCAATACTGGGACCAAAGTGCTGCAGAAAGGACGTAGAAGGAGAAAGACTTATTGGGCTCACGGTTTCAGAGGATTCAGTTCATGGTTGGCCAGTTCCACTGCTTCGGGCCTGAGGTGAGGCCGGCCATCATGGCGGAAGGATGTGAAGGAGGAAAGCTGTCAGCCGTGGCAGCCGGGAAGCAGAGAGGGAGGAAGGGGGGAAGGTACACCCTCCTAGGGCACACCCCAGGGGCCCGCTTCCTCCACGGGGGTCCCTCCTCCTGAGTCTACGCCACCCACCGGCCGACCCACTGAGGAGGTGAGAGCCTCCGGGCCCAGTCACTGCCCAAGGCCCCACCTCCCGTGTCCAGGGGTGACGTTCACATCCACACCCCAATACGCGCCTGTTTTCCTGTTTCTGGGACCGAGGGCCCTGGAGGCCTGTGACCTGCCTGGAAAGGGTGAGGAGCACAGTCCTCCAGGGTCCTCCACACCCAGCCCAGCGCCCACAGCCCTGACTAGGCCTCTTGGCCAAGCGTCGACGTTCATCATGGCTCTGGGCAGAGGTCATCCAACATCCCACCAGCTCAGACTCAGAGATCTAAGGATGAGCCCAGGGCCTTCCAGCCTCTCACCTCTGAGGCCTGGCCCCTGTCTGCAGTCTACCCACCGCAGCCCACTGACCTCAGGGCCACACCGAGGAGAAGCTTCCGCCCCCTGCCCTGGGCAGTCCTTCCTGTAGGCAGCCCACCCACCAATAACACTCGGGACCATTGCTCACAGGGCTTCTCCTGATAACCAACTCCCTGGGTGAGCGGGGACCGTCCCTTGGTCATAAAACCAGAGGACAGCTTGCAGTGCCTCAGGTCCCCTGATGTGCTTCTGGCAGGAGGACCTGGGGCGTCCGTGGGACCTTGACCGTCTCACTCCTTGGCTTCCAGGATCTCTGCTGTCATCTCCTGGGCCTGGGGACCTCTTGACTTTTCAGTTGATTCCGTGGCCTCTGGGTCCCCCCAGGGCTCTCATTAGAGTCTTTAATGACCACATTTTTCCAGGGGACAAAAACGCAGACCATGAGCTGCCACGCCGCAGGTCAGTTCCCAGAAGACGCGGGGCTTCTGTGCCCCGGCCTCCTGCCGGACTCCAGGGCGCCCTGGGCCTGGGTTCTGTGAGCGTGGGCAGAGGCACCAGCCACCTCAGCCTGCAGACAGCAGCTCGCAGGAGGCCCTGGGCACCCGCGGCTGGGCCTGAAGCAAGGACTCTGACCTCGACAGGGTCCGAGTGCCCACTCCACGCCAGGGGACCAGGCTCAAGGGACTCGGCAATGAACACCACAGACAGCGTCTCAGGGTGCCTATGGCGTTAGCACAAAATGGCAGAAGAGAGCGCCTGCCCTCTCCCCAGGCGCCCTTGCTGATTGCACAATTTACTTGGGCTGACAGTCTCAATATTTATTTCACAGTCTGGTGCCAGCTTAGCAATTACGGAAGAGCGCTCCCGGCCCCAGACTTCCCATTGGATAAATTGGCAGCAAGTGGCGCTTTTAGGGCTTGAGACACATGTGCACGCAGACCACGTGCCTGGCTTGGGTCGGGCAGGCAGGCCCGGAAAGTAATTAACACCTGCTGTTCTCCTTCCTTCTGTGGGTACAGACAGCCGCTTCTGGTGCGCCGCGAAGAGTCCCAAACCACGGAACAACCACCCGAGGCGTGCGGGCCCGCCCAAGTGACTGTGTCCCTGGACCCCGGGACAGAAATGCACCCCCCCCCTGCCTCCACTCCTAAGGCCCCACTGACCTGTCGCCCCCTTTGTGCCGCAGCTGGAGCAGTTCAGAAGCCAGATCATCAAGGCCACCTACGGGCGGGCGAAGCCAAGCCAGGACAAGACCATCACGGACCAGCAGGTCAGTGTGGCCCGTGGCCAGGGGCTCCTTCGCTCCTCTCCGGGGATCGGGACGCCAGGCCCTGGGAGCATATGTTTCTGTTTTTGTTGGTGGCACATATTTTTCACACTGTCGCTGCACCATCAAGATTTGTTTTGATTTTATGGGATTTCCTGGCTTTTAAAGTAAGAGCCAGTTAAACTCCTCTGAAATGCTCTTATGAGAATCAAGTTCAGCCACGCAGGACACGTCCAGCCACCGGCCACGCACACACAGAGGGGCGGCCTCCCCTTAGTCCTCGTGCCCTGGCTTCTTCCTCCCAGAGGAGGGGGTCCGGGGGTGGGCTGCCCTGCTCGTCCTCCAGGACCCTTTCCTGTCCTCTGGGTCACTGGACAGGGAAGGAAACACACCGTGGGCGGCGCCTGTGGGGCCCAGGAGAGCCCAACACGCGGGCTCCCACAGCCTCAGGCCCCGTGTTCCGAGTCACTGCGACAAATGCAGAAGCACCTGGGACACTGGCAGCTACGGTGCAGGCCTTTGGCTCCCAGGAATGACCTCTGCCTCTGAGCCCCAGGGACAGAGGGGTGCTCTCCCTAAGACCCACCTGCTGAGCTGGGGGTCTCCAGCTGCCATGCTCTGGTCCCCTCTCCTGAGGACACTCTGCATTCAACATCTTTCCTTTTCTCACCAGCTGATAGAGAAGATCACCCAGGTCACCGAGGACAACATGAACTTCCAGCAGAAAAAGTGGACGCTGCAGAAGGAGACCCAGCTGAACAACTCCAAGCAGGAGGAGCTGGCGAAGAGCCTGGAGAAGCTGAAGGCGTCGTTGGACAGCTGCCAGGTGCCCCTCACGCTTTCCACGTGGCCCCCTTAGCCAAATTGGTATGCTTCGTATTTGGGGAACTGTCCAGCTTTCTGGAACGGGGGGGGGACAGCAATGCCCTGTACCCACCTCTTCTCCTCTTGGAGAACAGAAAACCAGGGGCATCAAAAAATGCCTCCCAGGTGAAGAAAACACAAGCATCTTCCAGGGTTCAGCCAACCACAGAGCTAAAGTATTTAGGGGGAAGTGCCTCTGAGCTGAGCACTATCGGTATACCCTGAACGATAAAGGCTAGCCACTGTGTGCACAGCATTTACATTATGCGAGGTACGCCGGGCCATCTAGCAATGACTTGAGGAATACACAGAAGTTATACGCACATACTACACACTTCATGTAAGGGGCTTGACCATCCTCAGATTGGGGGATCTACGGGGATGGAGGTGGAAATGGGGAACTGGAACCAATCCTCCATGATACCAAGGGACAGGGGACAACTGTACTGACTTCAGGAAGGCGGCCCTGGGGCAGAGGAGGGAAACCCCATGTTATTTCCAAAGAAGCCAAAGAGGTTTCTGCCCATTATTCGCACTTACTTGTTTGGCCCGGCAGTGAAAGCTACTTCCTCTGGTCACCTGTGATCCCAGAGGAGCGGGGAACAGAGGCCCAGGCCCCCGGGGCCCCACCGAGCTTATCTCAGGCAGCTGCTTGTGCTTTCTCTTCGAATCAGCAGCTGCTATTTGTGGAGTTGGTGCGAATGCTTGCTTGTCAGCACTCCTTCAAAAACCAGGAAGCCACACTTTCTGACCAGCTTGTGTGTTGATGTCTGCAGGAACCGTGATAAATAGGAGAAGCCAAATGGGGTTCTATTTTCAGCCAAATTGTCTAAGGCAATTTGGCTTTGGAATCACACGTACCTAAAAGGGTGTTCCCTAGACTCTCAAAAGGGTGCAAAAAATATATATAATTTGCAAAAAAAAAAAAGAAAAGAAAAGAAATGACGTTGAATAACACTGGGGCCACTCAGGATGGCCAGGACACCCTGGCTCCCTTAGGGCAAGGGCAAGGTGCCACGGGGTCTGAGCTCCGCACGTCTGTTTCCAGGCTTGCTTGAAAATGCCTTGCTGCAGCGGCGACCTGAAAAGGGAGGTGGACCTTCTCCAGCACCTTCAGATGAATCCACCTGTCCTGGGGCTCCAGAAGGTGACCCTGGACATCTTGAGCCACTCACTGTCCTGGCTGGAGGAGACGGAGCAGCTGCTGAAGGACCTCGGCATCCAGCTACCCAGCTCCGAAAAAGGTTCCTGGGATTTTTTTTTTTTCTTCTTCTTCTTCTTCTTCTCACCTTAGTTGTGGGATTCTGAAAATGTCGTGATGAATCCTGCCGTGATGGGGCATCTGTTGAGATGGCTTCGCAGGCATGTGGCCGAATATTCCCTTTCTCCAGACTTAGTTGGCTTAGGAAGTGATTTTTCTTAAAAAAAAAAAAAAATACACAAGTGAGACATGATTGTCACAGAAATGAAACGTGACAGAGGCAAAAGGAAACTGGGAGGATTCCAAGTTATGCCGACTCCTGTCTCCCAGCAGGAACTCCTGTGATATTTTGTAACTTGCACAGCAGTGTCTCCTGGTAGTAGCTGTGTGACTCCAGGAAAGTTACATAACCTCTCCAGGCTCCAGTTTCCTCACCTGCAAAATGGGGATTGTAGGGAGCCGCCACCTCTTGGGGTCATTGTGAGGACTGGAATGAACTGATCTCTGTAAAGTGCTTAGACTAGGTACCTGCACAGAACAGGCATTACACATTTATCATTTTAAGTCTACGAAAAATCGTTTCCTATTACACCAAATGTTGCTTGAGTCTTGTTACTAATGTTGCATTGTTAAGGAAACCCCTGTTGGGTGGAGGCACACAGACCTCCCTGGTGACAGTTGGAGGTGGCAAGGAATCCCCTGAGTAGGAAGTGCCACCTCTTATTCAGCCGGTCCCCTGTGGGAGCATGGAAGTCGCTTCCAGTCTTCCTGCTCCTCGATGGTCCCCAGGTGAACATTGTTCCACAGACTCTTCATCTTCCCTCCCTCCTCCTGGGGTGGAAGAGCAGGGACCTCTTTCCCTCCACAGGTCCATTACCTGTTTACCATAACCAGGCCCTGAGCACGGCAGAGGCATGGTGGTGGGGCAGGAGCTGGTCACGGTCATGATTGTTCATGGAAAAACTCCCCCAACTTAATGTTTGAAACGATAGAGGGTAAAATATTGGGGGGAACAGGGGCTATCCTTGCCCTCCTACAGCTTTCAGTCTCCGGGGGAGGGAGGGCATGGGCATCGGTGGAAAAATCTCTCCAATAAACAAAATGTGAATGGTTGCAATTGCTATGAAGAAGGGCAGGGTTTGAGCTGGTCAGGGAGGGCGGGGCATCTACGGGATGCGCAGTTGCCGTAGAGGGGAGGGAGAGCGTTCTGGGTGGGCGGACAGCATGGTGGTGGGGGTGAAGAAGCCAAGGACAGGGGCTGGTGAGCAAGGTGGGCACGGGCTGTGCGGGCAGGATGAGAGGTTTCGAGAAACCCGTGGGACAGTTTTGCATGTTGAGACCATCATCTTGGTCACAAGTGGAGGGAGGCCAGTCCGGAGCAGCAGGAGCCCAGACAGGGGCTGCCGAAGATGAGGGTGGCTGCAGTGGGCAGGGCGGATGTGGAGAAGGAGAAGACGCAGGGGCCTCAGGAGGTCCATCAGGAGGCCTCCGTGGCAGGACCGGGTGGGGCTGGAGGGGAAGTGACAGAAAAAGAGGTCCGTGTGGCTTCGAGGTTTCTGGCACTTAGGAAAGGACAGATGTGGTTGTCTCACTAAGATGCAGAGTTAGGGGTGCTGAGGGGCCCAGGGCTCGGGGGCAGAGGAGCACGAGGTGGCGTGAGGCATCCGAGGACGTGCCCAGGCGTCCGCTGTCACAAGATGCCTCACTGGAGGTAGACATCAGGGGTTGTGCCCAGACGCAGACGAGCGTGTGCCACACTAGGGTGATGAACGTCCAGGGGAGGGATGGGGCAGGGGTGGGGCACGGGTGGGTGGATAAGCCGCAGGTGTGGGAGGGGCCAACCCTGAGGAGCCCCAACGTTTCAGATTGCAAAATTGCTCTCTAGGAGGTCACGTGAATCTGACGTGCTCACAGTGAGGAGTGAGGAGACGGGAGTGGTCTTCCACTCTGATGCCTCAGCGGCCCCAGCGGGATGCCTTCAAAGTCATCCCAAAGGTGGTGGAAAGTTCTTGAGGGGGAAAAAAATGAGCAAAAGCAAAAATAAGATTTATTTTATATAAGTGCCTGCCCTCATTGTAGCACAAAGGAGGGGGGGTGTCAAAGGCCAGGGCAGAGGGACAAAGGACTCGGGTGCTCCCCACAGCCCAGCAGCTCCCAGTCACGGTTACTCTTCTCTTAAGCATACCTGACTGTTGAGCTCACCTGAGGACAGGTGACGTGTGGAGCAGTCTTGTTCTTCCAGGCTGGGACCACAACAGGGGCCCTCGTCTCTCTCCTGGTGGCAGTGGGGGCATGGGGCCAACCTAGCTGTGCACTGTCCCTTCCCACCCGAAGCAATTTCAGTCACTGATGCCATGGCTATGAATCTAGCCATCCGTGACTGTCACTAAATGTAGTGGTAAAGTTAAACTGTCAGGCCAGCAATTCCAGAAAGGCTGAGAAAGACCCGTTTTAGCCAGCAAGGCTCAGACCTGCCATTTTTTCTCTTCGGACTTCATAGAGTCACAAGCTTTGAGCAGCATAAACTGGTCTCTGCAGACGCTCCTCCATGAACATGCCCTGCGCATCTCCAAGAAGGTGGCGTCCTTTCTGGCTGCCCTTACCCACAACTAGCACCTCTTACAATGATGTTCCCTGGGACGCCTGCGGGTGAAACCGAGCTCCAGGGGCTAGAGTGAGTGAGGGCGGCTGCTGAGTCCTAAGAAGTAGGAGAAAGGATGGAAGAGAAAGCTGGTGGCAGAGGCACTCTCTCTCCCAGTGCAAGCAATATTAGGGGAAGCCAGAGCCTTCTCTATGTTCTCCACCACCGACCCCAGCTCCCGGCCACAGCCACCTCAGGAGGAGCAGGAGGGGACGGTGGCGTTGATGACCTCGGTGATGATGGTGGTGATGATGGTGATCAGTGGTGATGGTGGTGGTGATGGTGATGGTGATCAGTGGTGATGGTGATGATGGTGGTGGTGGTGATCAGTGGTGAAGGTGGTGGTGGTGGTGATGGTGGTGGTGGTGATCATGGTGGTGGTGATGG